GGGGGGGGGGGGGGGAGAATCGAGATGTTCAGGGTTTTTTGTGGAGCATCAGCAGTCCGTGAATTCATTGCCTTTTTATATGCTTTTGCAAATCATTCTGTCTAAAATCCCCCGATATTCGTCTTCCAATAAGAGACAGGAACACTTAGAGCTAAGCCTTTTGCTGCACCATCCCCTATTCCAATAGTATTCGCTCTTAGCAAAGCTGTCGGTGGATCACTGGTTTCGTTAGCCACCCAGCAGAGAGCTCATGACGGGGTTTAACTCCCTATCATCAAAATGCCACTACTAATTTACCGTCAAGACTTAGAGGGAGAGCTCCCTTACTTCTCCTAAATCCTTCCTCGTTTCCTTTTCCACTAAGCACTGCGAGCGTCATACTGACGAAGTCCAGTGGCGCGATGTTGAATTAAGGCGTATATGACTTAATGGACCGAAACGTCTTATCTCATCCTGGCCTCCTTTTCTCATACTGTTCTTCCATGCTGTAATCTGTCGCGCCTTCGCCATCTAGGTCTCCAGAGTCAACCTGGTTGCTGCAGTCGGCGTAACAGCTTTTTCGTGAATTCCGGGTACGGTTGATGCCTTCAGCTCATTTAGTTTTGCGTTGATTTTACGTTGTCAGTTTATTCAGCTCCAGCCCATAATGTCATTCCAAAAGCTATGCAAATGCACATTAACACACTTTGATGGATTAGCTGAAGTTATTGCGTGTACGAGTAATGCATGTAGAAGGAGGTACAGTTCCCTATTAGCTGAAAAAAAATGCTTTTTTTCTGCCCGCCCAGATACTGAGTTTTGCCAGCACACATTGTGGTCCAGTCGAAATAGCAGAGAGACAAAATAAGTTACTTCAGAACCACGCACACCTCAAGACTGGATTTGAAATACTTAAGTTTTACCTGGACAGGGAACATTCCCCTACAGTTTCAGTTTTCTAGCCTTTTTGGTTCCCGAGTTAGTAATTTTCCCGCAGAAAATTATGATTCGGCCTGTCAAAAGCCGCAAAAAAAACCCTCTTGACAATTTCACACCCTCTTCGGTCGCCCTACTTGGACCGTCCATTTTTGATTCGGCCTTCTGTGGCCCCTCCCTTCTATGCCTGTGTTTCTTCTTCTGTAACTGGAAGAGGCAGCTCCCTTTTTTCGTTAGAAAACAATCATACCGTGGATCTCCTGACGACGTGTTTTTCGCATTGTTTTGTTTTTTTCTGTTTTATCGAATTGACAAGCATTTTTCAGGGTTTTTTTTTTCTGGATTTTAAGAAATGGTGGTTATTGAGCGAACAGCTGGTGAGCAACCAACGACATCCATCTCTTCACAACACGATGCGGCGCAGCAGGACGAAATTGACGTGAAAATAGCGCTCGAGAAATACGAGGTATGCTTTTTACGGGTAGCACCTTTGCCGAATTTTTACGGGTAACACCTTTGCCAAATAGCACCTTTGGGTAGCACCTTTGCCGAAAATCCTCACTGTTTTTTTTTATTTTCGAAAATTTTTTGCAATATTTTCAAAAAATGAAAATTATGTCATGAAATTTTATAGGCTAGACGCAAACAGATCGAAGAGGAAGAAGCACGCAATCGGCGAGAGGGCCTTTTATCGGATGAGGATGATGACAGTGTGGATGATGTTTTTATACCAGCCAGACTGCGACGAAAGGAGAAAGTAATCGTTCTTTATTGTCTACTCAGGATGCCTTGTAAGGTTTAAAAGGGGCAATCATCTTATATAGGATGACTTGTGAGTAGGGTTTGCTTACAGCTCAGGGATGAAACACAGACAGGCTACCAAGACACTGCACATACAGGCTTGCTTATTTGCGAGATCTAAATGGCCCTTCCAGTTTTTCATTGATTGTCAAAATTCGATTGTATTCCTCTCCATGTATTCCTCTCCGTCAATGACGCCAAACAAATTGCATATATTAACACATAGAAGATTTCCGGCCCCCGTTCTCTCCCAGTCTCCTTGCCAGGAATATTCACTGTTTGTATCTTTAAAATTTCTACAACACTTGTTATTTCCTAGACCTCGTACCTTCAGGCATATCTTGCATCCTGAGCTTTCGGCCATTTCCCAGACTCCTAGTTTTTGCACATGTTTTTACACTCAGTTTTTCAAGTATTTTCAGGATTCAAGCTTTCAGACATGTTCTAACGCAGCCCTAAACTCAAACCCTGAGATTCGCATATTTTTGGAAGCGTTTATACATTAAAAAACTCCTCAGTTTTTTCGAAGCGCTTTTATGTTTAAGATTTTGATTACTTTTTGCAGATGCATCGGAGAGCCCTACTGAAACAGGTGCTACATGCAAAAGGTGGTGCTCCAAATATGGATACCGAAAAAGAAGACTTGGAATTTCTGGAGCGCAAACGGCGAAAGAAAGAGGAGGAACGAAAAGCTGAAGAAGCAAAGAAATCTCTGCTTGAAAAACACAACGAACTCGTGGAAGCTGAATGTGGTGAGACATTCGTTGCTTCACTTATATGTACGATGAATTTTTTACGGTTTCACTCATGGTTGTAAACTGGTAGCATTTCAGGAGATAAGGATCCAGAAGCAAAAAAACGTGAAGAAGAGCAGAAGTTGTTGGAAAGCGTTGCGCCTGGAACAGGAGGTAATTTCTTTTTTCGTTTTTATATCTGTTTTACATAAAGTCAGAGAAAATGGCATTTCTTGCCTAAAGACGATAAAGGGGAGCGGAAAAACACAAACATCAAATTCACCAGCAACAGCAGTAGCAGCTTTCGTGGCAGCAAAGAAAATTCGACTTCTGCTGCAGAATCGGGAAGCTAAAGGCTGAGATTTTCAGGGAATGTTCCCAGCACATTTTCAACCTAAAATTGTCGAATTCAGCCCCCAGACGTACGATTAGTGTAGCTCTGATCAGTAACAACTGTGAAAAGGCTTAAAGATACGCAGCACTAGTTAATATATTTTCAACAGAGTTTAATATGTGTTGTTATATCCGTGTTGTAATTTGGGTGAATTTTTGAGAACGATGTTCCTAAATAAACTCCATTCCATCAGTTTCGATGACAGCGTAATATGCAACCTTCTGAGCTTGTCTTAGTAGTATGTAGCGCGTTAGTTTCAATTTTAAATCGACGGTTCTCTACCGCCAGAGCGGGATTTCTGGATTGCTTTGATGGTAAATCGGTATTATTACTCTTGCCTGTGTTGAGAAGTCAGAACTGTCACTTGGGAACCATTGACAAGCTCGCCAGTAATAGTTTCTTTTAGCAGTTCATAATACTTCCGAATGCCTTCAGAATGAAATGATGATATCTGACTTCTTTTTAGTGTCAATTCCCACCAGTAACCAAACCTTGCACTACCTGTTTTTACAACTAAGGGATGAAACACAGACAGACCATCCTACATTTACCCTGGACATGACCATTAACTTGTGAAACGGTTTGTTCCACACTAACAACCCAACTATCTTACCCGCCACCATTCTCTACCAAGTTCTATTCTTCCAGCCTTAAAACCATACGGAATTCAGCGGTGTTGAATTTCTTTCGGTTTGCACAGTCCTTTACTTTGTGTGTTATTCTTCGGCCTACCTACCACCACAAATTACCACTGCACATGTACCACAACCTCGACATTCCTGCTTGAAATGACTAATTTTGGCTGGTCTTCCATGGTCCTTTCATTTCTATTTCTTTTTAGTGTGCATATTGACTTAATTTGCTTCCTTAAAACTAATGCATCTGTTGTTCCAAATACAAACATTTGAACGATAGACAGCGCTTTTTTCGTGAACTAGCATTTTTAGGGGAAAATGAATAAGTCCAACATATAGGGTCTTTTTTCCTCTAAAAAGTAAATTCTTTTTTTGGTTTGAGTACTTTGACTAGTTATGTTTTCGTTTCCGCGCATCTTTACTATGCCATTACAACCGCTAACCGTCCTTATTGCTGTAATCAGAGTTGCATCAAAGTTGCTTCATCCTAACATTCATCTCTGCGCTTTCCTTTCTTCCTTGTGTTTTTTTTTTTTTGAAAAAATTTATTTTTTTTTTTTGAAAACTTATGCCCACTGAATGTGAAGTAATTTTTTTGACGCATTCATTAAGGTGTTATTTGTGTTTTTTTGCAGTTCTGATGGCTGTTGCCGAGATTGCCAAAGGGGTGAAATATGAAGAATCCATAAAAA